CGGGGCGGGCGACGTGCCCGGGGGTGACCGGCCCTGCTCCTTGCCTTCTCCCCAGGTGCTGTGAGGGAGATGCGGCACCGAGGAGCGGGGCTCGGCTGAGGGTCTCCTGAATGACGGGCTGATGGGCGCGCTTTGAACTCCGGGAACGGTTTGGATGGAAGCAGCGGTGGCGGCTGTGAACGTTGTACAGCGAGTTGGAAACAACATGAATACTTCGGTTCTCACCCCCCTGGGAAATATTTCTGGTCACCTGAATTTTTCAGAGAAGAACTCGCAGATCTTGCAGTTTGAGGATGAGGATTGCCACGTGCCTCTGGCCATGGTCTTCACTTTGGCCTTGGCTTACGGGACTGTGATAATTCTGGGAGTCTCTGGGAATCTGGCCTTGATTGTCATTATTTTAAAACAAAAGGAGATGCGCAATGTTACCAACATCCTCATTGTCAACCTGTCCTTTTCTGATCTTCTAGTGACCATCATGTGTCTTCCCTTTACCTTTGTGTATACTTTAATGGACCACTGGATTTTTGGGGAGGCCATGTGCAAACTGAATCCTTTCGTGCAATGTGCCTCAATCACCGTCTCGGTCTTTTCTTTAGTCCTCATTGCTATCGAACGCCATCAGCTGATCATCAACCCCCGGGGCTGGAGGCCCAACAACAGACATGCCTACCTGGGGATTGCTGCCATATGGATTTTAGCCACAGCTTCCTCATTGCCTTTCCTGATCTACCACGTGTTAACAGATGAACCCTTCCGAAACATAACATTTGATGAATATAAGGACAAATATGTGTGTTTGGACCTGTTCCCCTTGGACACTGCCAGGCTTTCTTATACCACGACGCTTTTGGTGATTCAATACTTTGGACCGCTTTGTTTTATATTTATTTGCTACTTAAAGGTAAGAGAGAATCCCCTTGCGATATGTACTTCTTTCTGTCTGATGTTTGTTTATCCTTGCAGAGATGATGGTTGTAGGTTAAATTATCCCACACGTTTCTGTTTGTTGAATTTCCTGCAGATATACATACGATTAAAAAAAAGGAACAACATGATGGACAAGATGAGAGACAATAAGTACAGATCCTCTGAAACCAAAAGGATCAACATCATGCTGATCTCAATAGTGGTCGCATTTGCAGTTTGCTGGCTGCCTCTCACCATCTTCAACATTGTGTTTGATTGGAATCACGAAATTCTGCCTGTCGCTACCTGCAGCCACAACCTGTTGTTCCTCATTTGCCACCTCACCGCCATGATCTCTACCTGCGTGAACCCCATCTTCTACGGGTTTCTCAATAAGAACTTCCAAAGGGACCTGCAGTTTTTATTTCATTTTTGTCATTTCCGCTCCCGTGAGGAGGATTATGAGACTATAGCCATGTCCACCATGCACACAGATGTTTCAAAAACCTCTTTAAAGCAGGCAAGTCCAGTTGCATTTAAAAAAATAAATAGCGACGATGATGACAAAATATAAGGAGGTAATAAAAATTCTACCCCAAACTGCTGGAAGTGTGATCACAGGTGAAATATGTCCAAGGACAAGCACAATTACATAACAAGTACAAAATGGGTAATGTTTTGCTTCTTTTTCCAAGGAACCTTGATTGTTGTCACTTTGAAATTGTACGCTGTGCATTTTTGCCCCTTTTACTGCTTTAATGTTTGCAGCAGCTGTATCTGAATCTTATTATAAGACATAGTCAGGCCTGCTACTACCTATGGTTTACATCAGCTGTCTTTTGTTCTGTTTTCTTTGTACGGTTATGCGCTTTAGCACAAAGATATATTTATTGATGTTTTTCAAAGAAGTAGTTTTCAGGAGTGTCCGTCTAAGACCATTGGAAACAATACGAACTCCAGGGAGGCTGTCACTACAGAGGACACCCATCCCAGCATAAAATTAGGACATTGAAGAGTTCTTTTTTTTTTTTTTTAAATCCAGCTTTTGGTCAATGTTAAAATGCTGTAAAATCAGTGTAGGCACACAGAAAATGATTCTGTGAAACCTGTAGAAATTTTTAAACAGGGGCATGCATTTGTCTCGTTCATAGAGGCAATTCAGGCTGTAATCACTTAGGTTCAAAGACAGGATTAAGAGAGAAATTCTCTTCTCATTTACAAGGAAAAAACCTACAGTAACTCCACACAGCACAATGGGATAACCCTTATATTTCACTACAGCAAATGAAAGCATAAACGGGCCTTCAGTCCCAACTGATTATAGCTGATTTTAATAATAAAGGCCTTTTAATTAAAAAAAAAAAAACAAACCCATTTTCAAGAGGAGATAGTGTTGCTGGGATGAAATGTACTGTCCATTCCAAGTCTATGAACCATGTAAATTTTCCTTGAGAAATCTAAAGGGAGATGGGACTGTTCACTGTCTGTACAAGGTGCAATTCCATGCATCCAGGTAACAGTGAAAATCAGGTCTGGTATTAAAAAAATATGCTTTAGCTACCTGAGTCTTTTTGTAATAATTAGTGCTGATCTATACAAATTATGTATAGCCTCATAATATTCTGTGTTCAGGTGCAATGGTATAAACCTGGATTATCTCCAAGACAATCAATGGTTTAATCAAGATCTTCAAAATTTAAAAGGAGGATATGGATATAGTCTGGGTATAATTGGTATGTTTAGCTTCCAAACTCACAGTTTCCACAGTTGGTTGAAGTGCAGAAATATTTGCCAAATATACACAATAGAGCTCTGTGTGTTATTGCTTAAAATATGTATATATCCTCTATTTACACAAAATATACACGACTAGATCCCCAGCTGAGGGAAACCTGCATAACTTAACTGCTGTAAATGAAACTACAACAGTATCAGCCAGCTGAAGTTCTGTGTCATATAGTGTACTTTGCTATATAATCAATGCCTTTTTGAATAATCCACTTTTAAAAATACACTATAGAACCTGCTTTCTTTTAGCAGTTTGGCAGAGACGAGGGTCTTTAAAATACATATAAATGTTAATGTATCACAAATGGAAATCTGACCGTATATCTTTCTGAGCAAACAGATCTCAGAATGTGATGGTGAATTTAATATATTCTAAATTTGATATGGATAAATGCCTAAGAAATGACAATTATTTGGTTTGCCAGTATTTAGAAGTAAAAAACTGTGCCTTGTGCTGTCTTATAAATAGTGTAGAATATTAAAGTAGCAATGTGTTCTTGTGCATTATAATTCCATGTATTTCTCTACTGGCAGGTAATTTAATTAATTTCTGTGGTTGAGAACAGAGAGGGAATGTAGAAAATGAATTATAAGATCGAACTTTCTTTCAGAGCTTTGCCCTTTTGTATTTTATGAATTTCTCTTTTCTTTGTGGTTCTCTGTGGAGCGTGTTGCTAATAATTTGACAAGAGTCTTCTGAAATTATTCCCCTGTCACTTTGCGATAATTTTCATATGCTAAAGGGTGTGTATTTTCACAAGGAGATACAATGTAGAAACCCAGCCATGCTTAGCTATTAAAAATTTCACAGTGGGTTTTTCCCATTAGAAAAAAAAAAAATCACAGTGAATTGTATGGGTTTTTTTCCCATTTTTGAAAAAAGCACTTTCTTCCAATCCAGTGGAAGAAGAAAATGGAATTATTTGAGAAAGCTTCCAGTCAGTTTGCTGGAACTTTTTGGTCAGGATGAATTAGGTGTTTATACAGAGTAGGCATTGCAGCAACTTCAGAGGAACCTGCTGGTGCACAGAGAACTAAAACTAGCGTGTCCTAAGATTCAGTGGGGTAGCAACATAATTTCTCTTATGTCCTAATTTCTCCTGCTTAAGGTACGGTCTCAAATCATACAGCCCACCTGACACCGCCTCATACTGTTACCTGAGAATGTCTCAGGTGTTTTTTGCCTACCAATGCCTGACACACAGGTTGAAGTAGGAGCATTCCTTCGGCTCATCTGTGTTAAGCTCAGGAGCCATTTTTCTGCTGCACTGCCGCCCTAGGATCAGGCTTCTCTTACAGGTTTCCTTACCTCCCTGCAAGAAGCCTTTCTGAGCCTCTGCTAAGGATGCAGGCTGGAACATCGTCACGCGAGTAGCACAGGAGATGCTGCCTGAAGCAACAGTGGGGATGAACACGGTGTACAGAGCGTCCAGCAGGAAAATGCATTTGGAGAATTTCGGAAGACAAATTGTTGCTCTTTATGAGGACAAAGATAAAAGTAGTCTCTCCGAGGTGCTGACCTGACGTCTGCAGGGCATAGATGACACCTACTGAGAGCGGTGTTTTTGTCTTTGGTTTTATGACTTGACACTGGAGTCCTCAAAAGCCACGGGAGACCTTCCCGTCCTGATGCCTGGCTACAATACTCACCCTCTTTTTTCACTTTCAGAGCCCCAGCATGGCTTCTCATCCTCTGTGTGCTAAATTTCTTTACAGGGTAAGCTGTTGGGTTTCATGTTCCTCTATCATTTCTCAGTCATTCTCGCTTGGTATTTGTTCTTCCTATGTGCTGTTTTGTCAAACTCCCCACACTTCAGCACATGCTGATTCCTATTTCAAAAGCCCAAAGATCCCTCTTTTTCTTGCAGACTGAGAGAAAAGTTTTGCTGACAGAAAAACAGAACAGTGAGGGATCTATAAAGTTTCTTACTATTTATGTGCAATACATTTCATGTCGAGTCTACAGCCTTAAATGACAAAGGTAACTATTTAATAAACATTAGTATCTGCTTCATCTGTCAGTTATTTTATCACCTTAAATGTCACTTTTATCCACCACAGACATTTAAAGCTTCTGCATAATCTAAACACACCAGCATATTTGTAAATCATCTTAATAAGCACTTCTGTATTCCCACATTGCTTTTTTCAATGTATCTCTTTGTTGTGTCATTGTCATTACGTATGGTAACCCACAACTTTCACATCTTCATAAAAAAAAGTGTAACAATAAAGGAGGCAATTAATTGACATTAATATCTGCTTTTGGTAGGTTAGGAAAAAGATGGATATAAAAAAAAAAGGCAATCCTGTTTTTTTCCACCTTGTAAAAAAAAATCAGATTTAAACTAGGAAAAGGAATTAACATGACTGAACCCCATGAGGTCACTTGATCTGGTGCTGACTGCATCTTGTCACTAATGATGGCGTGAAGAGCTAAGGGTTCGTATATTCTGCCTCTGCTGTCTTGCAGTATAGTACCAGCTATTATTAATGGATCCTAAAAGCAAAATCTGATACCAATTCATATTCAGACTGTAAATTAGCGTATGTTTAATTCCAGGTGTCTTCATCAAATTCTGATTCTGACCTTAGGAAAATGTTCTTGAGATCAATGAAACTGGAGAATTTGCTTAAAGTTGATCATCTACCTAGGCACTGTACTGAACAAAAGTGTACTGCTGGCTGGCAGATCACATTCTTTCCTAAAAATCAGACTTTGGATTTCAGCTTGTTTTAGAAATAAATTAATGGCATATTGTTGTCCTATGGATTTTTCTCTGGATTTTCTCTGGACTCCAGTGCCTGACAGTGCTTCAGTGTAAGGCTTTGTCTCCTTATTCATTGGATCAAAGAATTTACCAAACCAGTGCGTAGAGAATGAAGGCAATAAGGAATTTTTTTTTTCTGTTCTTATTTTTAAAGCATACATAACAGTAGGAAACATGATCTTAAATAATACCTCTGTCTGCAACAGATCAAATTCATTCAGCTGAGTAGAAAGGATGGAGAAATAATAATTATAACGAAATGATAAGTTTTTTTGACAGCCAGTTCTCAGCTGAAGGATACATACAACTCTATGTTCTACCATGTCCTCTTCATTCCTGTGTTATTCAATATATGGTATCTGCCTCCCTGAGTCATTACTAAATACCCAAGACACTACTAAAGCTGATGTGAAAGAAAATTCTTTTCTTCTATTCACGCTTTGCAGAATTTAAAATGTTTGAGGATTACATGTGAGAGGGAAAAAATAGGACCAACTTTAGATTCTTTACACTTTAATTTACCTGTGGCCAGAAATAGCTTCAATATTTCTGCCCGTGCAAAACACTATTAATGGTCCAATTGAAGTTGATAGTTCAAAGATTAAGGAGAGCACCCACAAAGGCTAACTTCAGCTGGAGGATGGCAGTTTCCTAGCCTTTTCAGTGGCAGCCCAAGGGCACTCACACCTGCTCCACTCCAGGTGCTATGCAGCTACCAAAACGTCTTTCTCTCCGTTATCTGTACGGGATGCTGAGGGATGCCCAGCTTCCAGGGCCAGCACTAGGCGCAGTGACTACCGCCTCCCTTCCTCCAGCCTCCACGGTGCCGCTGCGCTCTCTTCATGCCTCACACCCCTGGCAGCTGGTTTCTGAGGAAGTCACGGGCATTTGTACTCTGAGTTTGTGAAGTGCCCGAGTAGATGGTAAAATTCAGCTCTATTCAGTACAGTGCTTTAAGCATGTGCTCAGCTTTAAATAGTTTCTTCCGTTAAAATTCTCTTCTGGCAAGTTTCTG